ATCCTTCTTCAATAGCCAGTGGGCCATTAATCCCATCCAGTATGTATTTTTTAATCTCAGGCACTGTGTTTTTCATTACTAGAAATTTGATTTGATCTTTTTCCTATTTGCCATGTCACTACTTTCAAATGTATGAAATAAAGTTACAATAAATTTCAATGTCGTTTTCTGCTCATTCTAATATACCCATCACTCTAGACCAGTGTCGATTGGTTTTTCTCCTCATGTCTTGTATTTTTTTTATTTTTTGCATACCTGGTAATTTTGATTGGATGACAGACATGATTTGACCTGGTAGGGTGCTGGAGGTTTCTCTATTCCTGTTAGTATCCTACAGCTTTGTTTTAGGCCACCGTTACTTGAAAACTTTCAGATCTTGCTTTTAAAATTTGTTCACTGAGATCAGAGCCTTGCTTAATCTAAGGTGACTTGTTCTTTAGGATTGAGGTAAGAAGCTTGGAGCGCTCTCCTCAATGCCCCAGGAATTCCGAAGTGCTCCAGCTCAGCCAATGGGGACAGGCACTTTTCCCTACTGTCCCTTCTTATTTTTTGCAGTGGTTCTTTCCCAGGCCTCGGGCAGTTTATTCACACGCAGAGGCTGATCTAGTTCTCTGCTGAAGTGAAGGAAGACCTTCTGTAGATCTCAGGTCCCCCTCTGGACTCCCCTCTCCTGTCCACACCCAGTCCTGCAGACCAGCTGCCTCACTCCCACAGGCCACCCAGCTCCCTGTGCTAAACTCAAGGACTCCACCAGGCTCTGCCTTGGGCTCTCCTCCCTGGGCCATGGCCGGGAAACTTTCTCAGGCCAGTAAACCGGGCCAATCCTGAGGCTCCCCTCCTTTTTTTTCCTTCTTTCTTTCAGGGCTAACTGTCCGTCACCCTTTCATGTCCAGTGTCTCAGAAACCATTGTTTCACATAGTTGGTCTGATTTTGTTGTTGTTTTAGGTGGGAGGATAAATTGGGTCCCTGTTATTCCAGCTCACAGAAGTCTCTAATGCGTTATTTACAAAGTTCTTATTGCGGAAAATTTCAAACTTACACAAATGAAGACAGGATAGTCATATAACTGCCTGGGGATCCACTTCCAGGCTTTAAAAAATGACCGACTCATGGCCAGTCTTGTTTTATCCATGCCCCACCCTCTTCTCTCCCTCATGTATTATTCCAGAGCAAATCCCAGACCTTGTGTGAGCTCAGGACTACCCAGCACGGAATAAGGCACTCGTGTTTGTTGACTGAATTAAGGTTTTAATGATTTAAATTAGAGGCATAGACAGAGCATCCCCAACTGA